TCTCTTAGGTTCTACTCCGAACCCAGTTCTCCCTAGTATCATGTGATTGATTTGATTCTGAAATAGGACCAAATCAAATTGTTTGTCCGTTTTCCGGAGTCTTTCTTGCTGCACTCAATGTTGATCACAATGCAAATATGCGCACTATAGAGAGCGGATGTCCTCTTCTCTGACCGTGGATTGATTGATAAGGTGATTCAGTTCGCCACGCATCCACTTATGAAATGGGGTCAAGTGGTGGATTATACTTTTGGAAAACTGAAACAGACGTAGGTCACCAAAATCCTATTAGAGAGGCCATTGAACCCTAAAACGAAATGGCTCGAAACGTTCACACACGAGCACACTCTCGGATTCACAAAGTTTGTCGGTAATCGTGTTCTTCTTTTTCCATCATGAAATTACACATTGCGCGAACAGTTCGTAGAATTGTTGAAAATCGAAGCTCACCTAGTTAACCAATGGACACACTGAGTTCCCAAACAGAGCGTCCACTCTCCACCACCACTACCACCACAAACAAAGACATGAACAGATCAAACTATATAGTTCCGCGCCATATAAAGAATCAATAATTGTGCCAAAAGCGATTTTCTGTGCCAAAACGGTATAAATTACACTGGATTCTGTGTGTGACCTTGAAAACTTTGTTCAATGCAGCCGATTGGACCTGTTGAGTTTAATAATTTGGTCTCCTAATGTTAAATTTTTAACGAAGGCTTACCCTACTTCAGATACAGTCAGATGATGAACTCAAATCTTGCCTTTAACAATACTGCTTTGTATATAACCGTCCTTAACTACCGCTTTTGATTCGAAAAGCCCACAGTTGATTTATGGATGTGAAGTGCTATGCATGGCTACAAATATTGATTCCCTCCTACTTTTTTTCAGCATTCACTTCACTCCAGCTACAGTTTAGGGAAAGAATTATTAATAACAGATAACAGCACGGTTGAATATCAGGCGGTCTCTTTGTACGTGTGTGTCCCAAAACATCGGTTTAGTACAGCTTTTTCCTGTTTCCCGCCGTTTACGACAAAACTTTGTTTTGGTTTTTGCTCGTATTGAGTAGGACCAACCACACTGGCGTCTTGAAACAATGTCCAGCGTTTTAAACTGCTTCCCAATGATATTTTGCAGTAAAGCGGAAAATAGTAAAGCAGAGTAAAACAATATGTTGGTGAGTGGTCATTAGCGCTGCCCAGTTTCGTGTGGGTCATCAAATAAAACCAACTCTGGAATGAAGTATATCCGCGGAGATGTACAGGGGATTTGCGGGGACGCCGGAGTATGTGCACGGTCGGCATTTCCGCAACAGCAGGAAATGTTTTTCCATGCCTACTGGTTAGCCATCTAGATACTTGAATAATATTAAATGCGCATGTATAAAGCATAGCATTATAAACTTAGAAATGAAGGGTAGTTAAGTTCAGTTGTCAACGCGCCATACCTCATAACCATGTGAGGTCAGCCACACTGTGTTCAGTTCATCACTACCGGCTTCCACTTCGTTCAACGATCTTTTCCATCCGTTTAAGGATGCCAATAAACGTTCTCTCATATTTTACTGCCCCACGGTTGGCAGATCTCTCGATCCATAATAGCTATCTGTAAGCTGTGCACCGCAATGTTTATACATCTGGAAAGTTTATCTTTCTTCCACCCAAGTAGAACTGATTAGCTGTTATCACAATCAATCCGAAGTCTGTGTCATTGTTCTTAATCAACAGACCAATCACACAAAGCATGGGTCAATTCATTTCGGTGCACGAGCGGTGTTTAAGTGCTGTCACCTCGGGTGAAAAGCTAACTATAGTTAGGGTGAACACCACCACTGCAAAGCAACGGGAAACTGGTGTCTGAGTCTAAAACTCGTGTTTTCCACTACATCCGGTATGATTCAAACATGGGAAAGCAATTATTCCTAGCGGAGAGTTCTTGCTCTTTGGTACCGCTTTTTTGCTTTGTGATTCCACTAATGGTAACAAAACCGTGTGCTTTCTGATCGCCAGTCAACTTCAGTAATAATTATTATATATTACCCCAGTGTTAGCAAATTTGGAGAGCGAGAAAGAAAGAGGGCAAGACCATTGGGCTCGGTCATTTCATTTGAGATAGGGTGACAAACAGATACAAAAGGATCGAGGCCAGCGAGTTAGGTAAAATAGCAATTTCATGTAGACTGACCGAATCAAAAGCTGCGCGCAGAGCATCCAAGCTTGTCTGCAGCTGACAATAAACACACGCATACACGCACCGGCACGAAGCTGATCTGTCCATAATACATATGTGGCAGATGTGGCCCGGGGAACAGAGCGAGAGAGCGCGAGGAAAACCGAATACAAACCGAACAGCCGACCCGACCGGGCCGCATCCGGGTTCGGGGTGTTTTTTTCCTCCCTCGCTGTAATCCAGAAATCGCCTTTTTGAACAGGCGATTCGTCGTTCTCGATTGTTCGTGAATCTAGGCAAACGGGTTTCGAGTATCAACGGGGCAAAATGGTGCGTCGCAAGGAACCCTATGAATACGCACTGAGTTGCCCAAACTGCTGTTTGGGCTTTCCCCAAACAAACAGATGAAAATAAAATGAATCGGTTGGTTGTAAGTACACTTGTTCATCCTCAACATGTTTGAGGTTAATATGCTCATCGTCCGAGTACATTACAAGTAATTACAAGTAATCAAGGAAGATATATTAGGTGTAAAAAATGCTGTTAACCGTTTCAAAATAATAGGAATTTGTTCTCAAATAGGTTTCAGGTAAACTTAACTGAAAGCAACAAAACTTGATTGATTTCATTGACTGAGATATTCTATGTGTGAGGATTTTTACGAACTGAAATCGATACAGAATATTCGTTTACCATAGGCGAACATCATGTCAAAGTAACGTGTGGTATTGTTAAATATCAAATAATGAAATGGTGCCGATGCGTATTTTTTCGGTAGCCAGACCTAGAAAGCAACATTTTCTTCTTTTAATCCAATTCCGAAATCAAGAATTAACACAACCGAAATTGTGTTTCGACACTTCTTTCAGTGGATAGATATCACTGTTGAATGAGAAAACATTGCGCGAAAGAATTGTTATGCTTTAAGGTACAAAAGGAGAATGAAAGGATGAATAAATCCAGGAATTCCACTGCGTGAAGAAGTGCTGAAGGTGACCATTTTTATCGGGTGAATAACCTTGATCGCCGAAGATACCATGACTATCACTCGTGTCATGCGGTGACGTGGAAACGTAAGATTTGGGGACACAGTTAACATTAATGGCACTTTCATCGGTTACACTCTTCAAGTGTGTGTATGCTGCCTACATGCTTCTCATCCCTAAAATGTCAGGTGTACAAGAGATTTATTCATACTTCTTTTGCCATGGCAGCCAGTGAACATCAGATTATAGGTTGCCGGGAGTAAGTTTGCCTTTTCCCCCGGATTCGAATTAGGACCCTTCGGGTTAGAAGTCGGATTGTTTTGTACTGGATCGACGGCCAGCAATATACGTGAATGACTACAATAAGTAACTGTGTTATTGGTCGATTAGCTTATCCATTTACCCAGACTTCAGCCACGGTGTATTGTTTCGGTCGTTTTACGCCCAACCACTCCACCTCTCGCATCCCGGCTTACGGTGCATTTCCTTAGCACCGGATCAGTACATCAATTCACGGTTAGGAAGGAGGAAATGTAAAAATCGCATGGTTATTTTCACAGTAAATAAAACGACATTTTATATCAACTAATTACCCTACATCGGATTGGCAAAATAACTACTGCTCGAACTCTTTAATTAAATTTTAGTTTTAGATCGATGCGCAAATAAGTCGATCTCTCTGTTCCATAGACTCAACCGTCTGTGAAGTATGTGCAGTGTGTAAGTATCCCTTCTAGAAGCCAAATATGATCATCGCGTTGCACGATTTCAAACAAGCAGTTCACTTTTGTTGGGTGGCTTGAATCCCCACCTTTGGTGCATAAACACATGCACACAGTCTCTCTGCGCTCTCTGTGTTCAATATGCATGTGTGTGTACCCTATGCGCTGACCACGGCACACTGAATGTGGGGAGCGTTTTCCAGAGATGCCTGTTTCTCTGTCCAGTAATTAACGGTTACAACCAATGCTAATCAGACGTTCTTACGTGGCTGTTAAAATCAATTCGCTAGGGTTTCTATTTTCACCGGTTGATCTATTATAATAAGTGAACAGCTATTGTCAGGAAAAAAAGCAGACGTATCAGATCTTTGTCCATTCATCAACTAGTCACCGTTTGGAGATTGTTGGGAATGGAGCATGCGGGGTAACACAAATATTGAGAAATCGATGCTTTCTCCCATTTCTTGTCAAAATCAGTCCCCGCTGACTTTAACTGATAAAAGAGATTTAGGTCCAGTTTATTTTTCTGTGTATCTTTCTCAAATATTTGAATAAGTTTTCTCAGAAAACTCATTAATATTTGAACGTAACAAATAAAAGGAAGAAAACAGCATTGTAAACTATATGTTCTGGTTAACATTTACCCCAACTCATCCGCTCATTTAGCAGATCATTTTTGATGGTTCTCCACGAAATATCCAGCACATTATCATAGAGTTCACTTAAAACTCCAACATAGTTCAAGGAATTGCCACATTTGTGAACAACGCATGACATTCGATTGCATGCACAGAAATTCTTCATTGTGACTTTTTAAAACCTTCGCTTTTCGGTGTCCGTATATGTGTGTGCGCTCGATTCCTTATAGTTCCTGTTCGCCTTGCATGCTCAAAGCTTTCGTTACACAGCTGAATTGCATGACCTTCATTCATGACGGTTGCTGATGCCGTTATATATCGGCCCATCCTCTCGCCCACTCCTCTCCCTCGAATAAATATCAATGGGTTTGTGAAATACGAGGCTTAACAACTATTCAATAAAAAAAATAGGCAGCATACGTGTTACAAAAAAACCGAGTAGACCGCCCTACACATCTCTGTCGTTTCGCAAATTGTAGCCTTCAGCGTGTCTACGTCCTTTGGACAAACCACCTTGTATGCGACAGAAAAGCGTCAACAAGGAAACGCTCATTATCAGCAAACGCATCTGCAAAAACAACATCGAGTACAACCGTTTTCATCAACAAAACTTCTGAAACAGCTGCCGCATTGGCAAGCTGATGCATATGTCGATAACTCTGCAAAGATCAACAAACCTTTTACCACAGAAAGATTTGTCAAGCGGGACACATTGCAATCACTTATACAATATGATCCACAACAATCGATTTACTACGTTCAGAGTGAGTATTTCAAATTGATATTTTACTTTCTGTCTGTCTGTCTGTCTGTCTGTCTGTCTGTCTGTCTGTCCATCTCACTGAAAACTCTCACATCGTCCTTTGTTTTTCATTGCACATTATTCTTAACTTAAGTATAAGCAGGTTTGTGAAGACAGACGGGGGGGGGACGAATAGTGCTCTCTCAAACTGCGCAAACTTTAAACGATATAACGGTTTTGTATGAGTCTAACCATTATAATCCAAAAGGTATTGACATACAGAAAATCGATAGGTGTCATTGTGATCCAAAAGCCTAACGACCGATTGCAACTGTTGGATTGCGAAGGATTGCCCATCAAAATCAGCGAAATTTAACCATCAATTGATAAAGCGAAGAACATTATTGTTATACAAAACAACTGAGCGATATTTAATAAAGTTAATTGAATGTAATAGAATTCCGATCAACGGTTGTTCAATTACAGTTATCCTTCACAAATTGTGGGTCCATAGAAAAGAACGCTACACACCAGGTTCGTCCTAATGTGGACTCATCAGTATTGCCCACCGTGGTCGTGTCTCTGACTGGACTCGGACCACCGACCTTTTTCTCATGATAACCAGAACCCCAGGCGACGATCGACAAAAATTATGTATCGTTCTTCGACTGTACAAAAGAAATATGTTCATTCAATATTCGAGTCACTTTTTCGGAGGGATGCCTTTAAATACTCGCTTTTTCGATTCGCTATATCATGAAAAACCCCTCCCCTCGGAGAAATAGAACGTTTCAAATGAGTATTTCCCGTTGTGTTAGTTGTTGTAGCTTTTGTTCAACTCCCTTGCTAACTCCGGAACAACCGGTCTCGGTTGTCAGTTTATGGTAATGCATTCCACAACACTGTCGAGTCAGACACGGATGATGCCAACCGACTCACTTTGTTCCATTTCTCCCTCAGCAATAATTGATTGATTGTCATTATTGTCATCGGGGTCCTCACGTGGAGCCACGTGAATGAGGATTCACGCCAGACATCTTTTTGGTCTCCCTTCAATGACAAAGGCCAGCGTGTGTGTGCGTACAAGTCTGGTGTCATGTGCGCATGTGTGTTAGCGCGCGCGAGCGGGTGTTGTGCGGCCAGAGCAATTAGCGTGAATCTGACTAAGTGATTTGAGAAGATTGGCATAAATCGTTCAGACTCGTACATATCTGACGGACGGATCGAATGCGCCGGGTGGGTGGGAATCCACCGGTCAGTCAGATCACACGGTCATCGCATTTGATCGTCGGTGAGGGTACATGACTGATAAAATGTCTGATCATTGCTATACCATCCGATCTAACTATAGTAATCATATTATCCATTGTTCGTTTGCATAAGGACAATTATTGTTGAGATTCAATTTACGATTAGCTTGGTGAATGACATATGATGCAAACGGATCAAACTAGTGCTGCACTTCATTGAGAGGAAAATTTAATGCTCTGCTTCTACATAGTTCTAAGTATGAGAGAGGAGTGATCAAAGCTATTGTCGTTTTAGTTAAAATCATGATATCTTACACTAGGAGTTGATCTGCAGTAATTTTCATGAGTTTATTCGGCTAACGAATGCGGCTTGGCAGAATGGCTCAATGAGACGAATGAATGCGAGATTTTAGTATGGTAGAATAGCAGCACCAGCATGTAAAATTTGTCACTTCATGCATCACACCCATTTCCCAATTGGTCAATATTCGTGTAGACGCATTATAAAGGACTATTAAAACCTTCTGGTGTGCACCCCCGCACCACATACACATACTTGTTTGATAGTCCTATTCCACTTGCATTCTCATCGAACTGAATTAGTTGCGAGAAAATCGCTCAGATGCAAAGACTTGGCGAGCAGTATAATGTGTGAAAGATGATAAATTACGCCGCGTCTGAGTGATACGGAGCTCAAATATATTGCTCCGAAATTTCTCGTCTGATAGAAATAATGTGAACCAACAGGATTTGACTTGCGATTCATGCCTGTGCATCAACAAATTTCCTATGAATACAATAATTTTTTGCCACAAAAACAGCCGACGGAGGGAAAGAAAGGAGAGCTTATCTCATCAACGGATTCACTGGTTAAGCATTTCATGGACCATGTGTTTGGTTATATCAAGTTTGCCGGCCCCTGAATTGCGTTCCCTAAATATATATTGCAAAAATATCAGTCCATACAGAATAAGTTTTTCATCTCCTCCAACTCCCCTGGTCTCCGCCAGGATCGTCCGAGAAAGATAGGAAATCCAGAATTAGATACAAAATATATTCTGAAATATTTACCACAGCCGTTAACAGACTGTCCGGTGTTTGTGAAATAATTTCCAGGCTTGGATTTTACTTAGGACAACAATTTCTCGAACTCTAATGAAATCTGTCAAAACCCGTATTCCCTGTATGAAAGTTTTCCAAGAATCGGCCACTCTGCGCTTCCGATTTTGTTAGCTTCATTTCATGCGGTTTAATGAACGATCGAGCGATCGAGCAAACATAACAATCAACAGTCTTTTTGGCAAATTCATTCTCCTCCAGCTGCGGTTGATTCTTATTCGACAAACAGGTTTAGGGAAAAACTTGCAAACATAGTTAAAATGATTTGCAAGCTCATTTTCTTTCCCGGTTTTCAACCAAGATCGTTCGTTCAATCCACAATGGTGGTTCGCGGGAGGTTTGTAGGGATTCACACTTTCTCCCTGAATGGAACAGAAAAGTTCACTGATACCACCACCACCACTTCCACCATTACCGCCTGGGTGGTTTTCACCACTGGATACAAAGTTGCGCTTCTCACCCACCCACCACAATTCGACTGTCAGAATTCAGTCAAGCGTGAGTTTCTTAATCAATGCCGCATGATCGATGTACTTTTATCGATTTAACACAGGGATTATACCGAACATAGGAAGCACTCGGTGCAAGTTGATCAGAAAGCGGCACCGATCTGAACTGCGATAAGCAAGCCCAAGAGGAAACCCAGAGTTTTGACAAAGATAAATTTTTGTAAAAATGCCCAAAAGGGTGACGGTTACCGTTCTGGACGAAACGACTACCGAAAAATCCAAACAGAAAGGTACGATCTTTGAGACTGTCCAAAAGGAATTCAAATTCCAGATTGTTTCCAATCGGAGTGAAATGAAAACGTTTTCAAACGGAATAAAGTCTGTGAATAGAGTTTGAAAATATGTCAAAATCCTGTACACACTTTCGTCACAAAAGGTTACTCCATCTCGCATTTTCTCACCTAATAGGGGTCGTTTACTGTGTAATCGATCCGTTAAGCCTGTTTGATGCGTTGAAGCGGTGTGAAATCCGAAAATGTGAAGGTTAGTTACCGTGAAATGAATGCGCGCATTTTTTGAGGTTAACTTTATAAAACACCCATGTACCTGGAACGCATATAGTGTTCCTCCTTCTTGACCATTCAACTCTTTTATCGATGCTTTATTTGGTTAGTCCGTACTATCGTGATCATTAGGAGGTTTGACTGGGAATTTGCTTGCGTGGAATGGTAGAGAACTACAGAAAAATGGCGATCGAAAAAATGTGTTAATGCATCTGTCCAAGGGTGTGAATTTCTTTTTTTATTTGCACAGAACGAAAGGCNAGGCAGTTAGCTCTCTTCTTAGTTGTTGGTTGAATCGGGGAGGCAGTTTGCAAGCTTACTGCAAGCTCCACCAAACACCGTCGCTGTTTTAAGCCCATTTTGCTAGTTCTTTCATGCCTGTAAATAGAGCAGGCATCCTCGTCTCTCGTCCACGACGTTTGCAGCATGATCACTCGGGATCAATCAAATTGAATTGACATTGTCTATAACAGCTTATTGCGACGTACTGAATGTCTTATTTGATGGCTCCACTGATAGGTTTCAGTCGGTTTCAGCCCCCTTATCGGATCCTTGTATCAAGTCTGACAATATGCGAGTTTGCGCTCAACTATCGGTTGTCTAAAGAGTTAGCTACTAAAACGGAAAAACTCTTTTTATTTTCATTTTAACTTCATTTTATTAAAAAGAAAGTTACAATTTTCAAGAAGAGGCGTAACAGCCAATTAGATGGGAAGCCAGGTGGTGGTGGTGCTGGCGGTAGTGGGATTCAAACACTAGTCCTCCGCCGTGATAATTCGGTGACTTAATCTCCGAACCAGCACCACCCAGCCAAAAAGTGTATGAATATTAGGGAAATCAAATGGAACGTGGTGAGTGAGGAGTGATGTGAGGATCAAAGGAGAATAAAAACAAAGCGTGAATGCACAGAGATTAAAAGAATCTGAACTGGTACGGGAGAGAACCAGTTAAGTTGAATTCATTCATCACACACCCACAGACAAGGGTTTTTAGAGCGTTCAGAGTAAACTAGAAAAACTTTACAGGACTGTGAACATTGACTACCACCCAATACAACTTGGGCTTATACCACTGAATGCAACAAGAATAGAAGTGAGTTCGTTTTTATTTCATTATATAAGTGTAAATTACAGGACTATATTTTGGTTATCAGATTTGCACATGTAAAAACTAACCATAATGCTCCACACAAACTTATCTTTCATCTGACCGCGCCAAGTCAGACTGAGAACAGGTGGCAAGGCAGTGTGACAAGCAGCAAATGTTACGTAGGTAACTTCTTGAGAAAAACGCCAGGGATTAACCTGTTCACAAAAGCCTTATCTCTATAGAAAATGGCACGCTATGTTTTGGCTTTTGTCCTCCTCCAGGAGGAGTACACGGAGTGAGCCGGAGCGGGAAATATTCGCGTGTAGAGACAGTTCAATCACAATTTACACGACATGTTCCGGCGGTCTCCTGTCGATCACCAAAAACGAGTAGCCACCTGTGAGATAGGACTGCGATAGTCTACCAACCAATTGTTGAACGTGTGTTGAATAATTCAAAAGAAGCGATACCCCTTATTATGAACAGTTACTCAAATGAAAACATTTTTCCCTTTCTCTTCCAAATTTCTTTTGGCACGATCTTTATGTATCATCACCGCATATGCAATTATTTTTGTGTCTGTGCATCTTCAAAATCTAGGCGTAAACGGATTGGCAAACAAAAGCCAGTAGAGTTTAAAATCAAATCATCCAGTCAACCGTTTCTCGCGAAGAAAATGTGGCTTACTCACTGAATCTGTTTTTCCTCCTTTCCCAATCCACGTCGCTCTGCCTGCCCACTTGTTATTTTACAGAAAAACCCCGAATCATTCGACCACCCGAATCGGTGGCCACCATTGTCGGTCAGTCGGTGCTCTTTGTCTGTTTGGTCGAGGGAAACCCAGCGCCCAAGGTTCAATGGAAAGTGAGTACGAATGTGTTCACAGATGTGGCGTGAATAATTCAATTGACATATGGTGCTCGAATTCGACCAATGACGTATGAAATTCGATTTGGCCTAGACACGTTCTTTTTACGATCAAGGATTCATACTGAAAATGAACTGAAATATTATTTCCACACGCGTGTTTCTCCAATTCATGATAAATATGAATTATGAGCGGACTATAGAGTGGAATCTAATGTGCATGAGATTGAGAAATTCGTGGGGAATATGCATGAGAAACCGATTGATGATGTGATTGAATGCAAGAGGACCACAGAATAAGGAAGCATGTTAAACAGCTTAACAGTTATTCTGAAAACAAACGGATGAACTGAAGCCAGAAATCCTACAGGCGAGGACGTTGACTGATGGGCATAGCTTACAGCACACGCGCGTCAGAGAGAGAAAATGAGAGAGAAAAGAAGGCGAGTTAGAACCGTAAAAATGCCAGTTCCCAGGTGCGCGCAGTGACAAGTCACCACGAATGAAATCCTAAAAGTGTTTTGTCATGATTCCTAAACAACACGAAAAGAACATGCGATGAGTTTTTATCTGGTATTTAAAATACGCTTGTGAAATCAAAAACGAACAAATAATGATTTATTTAACCAGTTGCAGAGTTAATAAACCGACTATGGAAAGGATAAAGGTGTAAGCGGCGCTTGGGTAACCACAAGCATCGATCCAACTAAAATAATGAAATATGATTGTTGACTGAGCGAGATTTACGATAAACATTGATGTCGTCCACATACTGTTGTGTCCAGGTGAGTGGAATAAAACCGTAACCAACGTCTTCTGGCACAAATCGCTTAGAGTGCAATATAGTCAAAGGCGAACCTTAAAAATCTTACAGATGGATTTCATACCCTGGCAACCGTGTTGAATTTGTTATCCAGGTTGATAGATAGATCGCCGAAAAGGTGTCTGCTTATCTTAGGTCCCCAATTTTCACTGAATGAATCAAGGCATACATCAGATTATTCCATTGAGCTGATTCTAAAACCGTTTGAATGATGATTTTCAAAACACCAGTAAGCGTGCGTAGTACTTCTTCTGGACGGGGTTACCCGAAACCCAGTGGTTACAATTAAGCAACAGTCCTAATTGCAGTTATCTTATACACCATTATACCATGTTATTGCAAAAGTGTAAAGTAGACTGGAAATATTATCTTTTTATGCCTTAACCTGTTGGTTTAACGCTGGTCTGAAGTAAAATGTTTAATTCATTTCGTGTTTGGTCCGCGGGATGCAATTTCAAAGATGCACTCAATTTATTCTTGTATCCACTGATTCCGTGCAAAACTGAAAAATAAATTGAGCTAGCATTCGATGTTAAGATCATTCGCTTGGCAATCCATTATGTAGATGGTTTTGCCACTACAAATTTCAAACGTGAATGCAATCCAAGTCAAACCGAATAACATGTACACATTTAGCAGTCAGAACACCATTGAGGGTACATCCACTTCATTCCAGTGGATCGATCACGGTATCACGGCCTCACGGCGGTGATGGCCAAGTAGTTAGGTCACCAACTAGTGACCTGGGTGTCCCGGATTCAAAGCGCTCCACCGCAGCCCGTCTTCCCTGTATCTGTATTTTTCCCAGGCAGCCTCTGTATGGCCGCAGCCCCCTTCCTGAAAGTTGACTGTACATTTGTATATTCAATAAACAGAAAAAGGAAGTAAATAGACATTACAAATTTCACTTCAAAGTTCGCGGGATGTTCCGTAGCTTATCCGTAATCTCTGTGAAGATTTGTGGTCATAAATCGGTGTGTTCTGTCTTTTCGTACGAAACGTTTGGCGGACACGCGTTCGTGGGATTCCAATGTTGAACTATATCGTTTAACCTGGTCCATTCATTTCATAAACCATACATTGGTAAGCATAGTATCACGTCTGGAAAATTACGTTCCATATATCACAAAAATAGGAGGCAATCTAGTTGATAGAAACTAGGTAACTGTTCCAGCTAATACTGGTAATTATAAATATAGGCGGAGTCAGCTACTGCCTAATTTGTGAATAAAATCCCCATAGGAGAATTTCTTGTGCTGGTGATTGAGTGAGGTGCACTTTCAAAAACACATTATTCCAGCAGCTTATCTTAGGTATAGGTTGAATTAAGTAACTTTGATAAATACTTATTGATTCAGACTGACTATCCTTCGGACTTCACCTTCACGCACAATCCTCAGTTCATCGATTCAACCATACAGTCTGAAGCACTGGACTCGAGCTTCGCTCTTATCAGAGCTCATCAGTAGTGGTTATCCACCGTCCCACTGTCCGGGATTTGAAATCCGGACCCATCGGGCATGAGAGGCGTGTGCGTTACCACTGTACCAACCGACCAACGCCACCTTTACTGATTTTATGGGAGATTTTTAAAGCGATACCAGTGGTGGTTAGAAGGACAATTATTTAATCTGAGTTTGCTGGCCAAATACAGAGTAAATACTTGAATCCTGAGCTAAATATTTAGTTTTTATTGTTTTGCCAAAAATGACCGAATGGATAAAAATTGGAATCACTCTGATGACTGAATAGAGGTTAGAACAACTGAATGGTATGTTAATTAATGTGAATCCAGAAACTTTATCAGTCTGGTACTCATAACTACTTGAACTCAAACAATGTTGCCTTTCAGAAGTTATCATGACCACTTTCTGTTTGTCCTTGCCCAGATATCCGGTGCAGATGTGTCCGAGGCGCGTTTCGGGAAAACCGTTCGAGCTCCACGCGGCTCCGTTCTTCGGGTCACAAACACCGTACCCAGTCACAACGGAGCAGTGATCACATGCATGGCCACAAACGCACTGGGACGCACGGAACAAAGTGCCAATCTGATTGTGTACGCAGACGAGCGAGGTCAGTTTCAGAGCATACTTACTATCATATTGTAAAAAGAAGGTCATGTGATGCCAGATTCCTACCCACAACCGTCCAAGAATTTATTTCATTGAATGACCCATTTGGCCGAATCGAAAAATGGCTGGTATGCTTACATGGGAAGATAAGGAGAATACGTTTTGCCTCAAATCATGCCCATTCGGTGAAAGATGTTCCGTCCAGGCTGCGCGTGTGTAAATTAGACACGCAAACCTTATGAACAATTGTACGTTACATTCCGGAATGCATGTAGTAGTAGATCACCAGAGATAAGTAATAAGCCCAGGAAACAGACATCAATGAAACTAAGGTGATCAGACGGGCCTTGAGAATAGCCGAATTTTTCGTCATTTCAGAAAGCTAAAAGTTACATAGATAAACAATGTAGGCTCCCGGATTCGAACGATAATTTTAAGTGTTTTTGTGGAGGAAATAGATGTATCACCAAGACGTTTAGCAAACAACCACTGGAATCGGTCCTTTTCTCAACACAATGACTCGAATCAAATTTAAAAGATGAAAAAAACGTTCATGCTTTCTCGATCAGATCAGTCGACATTCGTGGACTTCAGTCGCTGATATAGGTAGAAAACAACTCACTTGAAGATGTGTTTGTACGGTGTTTACCATACTCTACGGCAGTTTCGGTGATAATGCCAATGTACAGGTAGGACAAATCTGACGATTCAGAAAACGTTGTTCTCTCGTGGTCATTGTAATGTGGATTTCATCCGAAAAGTCACATTAGAGAAAAATCGTCTAACTGAAACGCAAGTGAAATATCATCGAATGCACCTTGTACACAGTGATAAGTTTCTTCGCGTTGTGATTTCCGACGCACACAACATAATTCGCTTTGTTGTGTTGAGTGAGGTGCACACAAAGACTGAGGTCATGACTGACCTTTTTGGATGTTGAGTTTGTAATGTTCTGGAACCACCGTTGTATGGGTATGGAAACTGGGGAATTCGCTGATAATGTTGGCAAAAACAATCATGCCTTATCAAGAATGCAGGTGCAATTCCCCCATCTGCCTTATCACATCAGATCGTTTCATCAAACGAGATGAATGCCTTACTTTTCCATTTAGTAATATGAACGCACTGAATCCCAACTCGTGCATAGCACAAAATCATCTGTAATAAACAATATCCAACCATTATTATGTCATCAACAGTCACCGAATTACCAAGACGTTCACTTCCGTGTTCAATAAACGATCAACAAAATTCCCAACTCACACACGGAGGGAACGTTCGTATCTATGAAGCAGAAAAGGTAATTTATTTGGATCCAGCCAAATCTGAACCGAGTTGTAGTTGTGCAACAATTCGGGAGGAGCGATGGACAGAATAATCAACTTCCGAATCGGGAAGCAGGGCACACATGCTGCGGTTGATTCCGGTACCTTTCACCGGTCACACTCCTTTATATTCCAACACACGTTTTTCCTGGGGTCAGAAACAAACCATTGCCTTGTCCGAATTATAACTTTTCCTTTGTCTCTTCTTTTGCTGGCCGCGTAATGCATGCGGTCGTTTGAGTCCGTGGATCTTTGAAAACACGATAGATGAATATCTCTCTCTCTTGAGAGAACAACCAGATACTTGCAGAATGCTATGCACTATCTTCTGGAAATCCTACCATTCCCCACACGACCTGTCATTAACCCCACATATCCCCCTCCTTTTATCCTAGCCCAAACCCACCAACACCACCACCATGGCAAAACCATTGATAGACGACTACTCAGCCCAAGTTAGAGCATATGCACACACACACACACCTGCCGTTTTGCGCCTGGCTGCACAAGCCTCTATCGATCAGATCCCAAGTGTGTGTGCATGTGTGCGTGTGCGAGTGTGTGTGTGAGTGTGTGCGTACTTAAGAGCATACTTGACGCATCCTCTTTCCATCAGCTCGCATTTCGTGTTGACCAGATGGTTACCACTTTTATGCAAACATCAGGTGTGGCCCTGTGTGTGTCCGTGCATATAATGTTTGAAAGGAGAACGATGAGCAGTTTGGCGAACCATCAAACTGATCATCTCTTAAACGAGTGTTGAACGATCGGACAGGTGTTTGTGTTTGTGTGCGGGTTCGTTTGTCCTTTACCTTTGTCTTTTACCTCTTTCAAAACAGAAATTCACAAACAACTCGTTGTCATTGTTTAAGTACACACCTATATGTTCCTGAGAGCACTAATCTTTACATCGCGCCTGTGTTCACCGATACGTAGCTTCCAAGACATGTTGCATTGGAACTCCTTTTTTGAAGCTGCGAATAGGGAGCGGTATGCATAAAACCTTCCCGGTTTGAGGTGACCACAGCAAATTCAAACGCCTCTGTCTGGTTTGAATCATCCGTGTTTAAAGAAGAAGTAGGGTGCGAGTTAAGCCTCGTTCACAGGCAACCCTATACTCTGTGTTCCTTTGTGCATTGCGTAAAGGAAGAGAGACAGACAGCCGAACTAACTGCTTTATTACGTATACGTGTCGCGTAGATAATTTTATGAGTGATATGGGGTGGACGTTTTGCACTGAATTTTCCGAGCTACGCGAAAGATGTTAACAGCTGAAACAGCTCAGCTCAGGATAATAAGTAATGTCACCGATTTGACGTTTTATTAATTGAATGAAAAGTGTTCGGGAAGTTCGGGGATCGAAACTGGACCATTTCTCTATTAGTTTTGCTGAAATACTGCAGCATTTGAAGGGGTTCTCTCAAATAATTTGAGTGAAAAAATAGTTTGTGCGAAACAAGGGAAACATATGTGACATTAGTCTGATAGCTCAATAGATACCAAAACATATTACGGTGGAAGAACCTTTAGAGGAATGACAAAGGAAGACAAAATAAGACTTGAGTGCATACGACTCCCAAGGGTGTGTTTGTGGGTTACGGAGATAGAATAGTTTTGAAACGCATCTGGCAATACGACCGGCTACAATTCATATTTTTTGGGAGTTTACGATCAGGAACGATCTGGAAATCTCACAGCTCAGCCTAGAAATCACCAAGTTTTGGCGCAAAATGCCCTTCAAACTAATCTGTTCCCTTCGCCATTTCAGGTCCAGCTCTCTCTCTCTCTGTGAACGGTGTGCGCAGGCAGAACTCGAAGTGCTTGTTGCTGAGTGACCATTCTCAACACAGCAAAACCGAAAAATTCTCAGATTCAATGCTAGCCAGTGTAGGTGTTTGTTGTTTACGTGATGTTCCAACCAAACATGATTGATTTAGTATGAAAAGGGAGTAGGTAATAATCTCAGCCGAGATCGATTTAACCGAGTTCAGACCCGACACAAAGAATTCCCGCATGCCTTGTGCAAATGATCACCTGGACTGTATGAACAGACTGATTTCCTTTGGGAGTTTACTTTATAGATGGAACAAGTCATAGACTTTGCATCGGCAGTACACATCTTTCGATGATCTCACTAGGGCTCTCGCAATCACAATGCTCTTCGCACCCATTGAATAACCAAAACTCGCTTAATTACTACTTACGGGATGAACAGCGGCGGGCACTGAATCACAAAACATGATTCAGTTACACTTCAGTCCGTACCGGAAATGGATGAGAACTGCCAGTTTCTACTTCAAACTGTTGTCACATCTCATATCAGTGCAACTTTTACTGTCCCCTACCCAAAGCTAATTCTTGCATAACCTTTCCTGAGAACCAATCTGATGTCTCTAGGTGACGTGGCGTTTCCATCCTACGCGTGATTCCTCGTATCAGGATAAGTATTCGGTAGACCATTCATTCGCCTTGCGCTATCCGAGTTAAATCTTCAGAAAAATCACACAACGAGAATAGAAAGAGCAACTTGCTCTATTCCCAGCCAGATGGAGATGGTTTAATTTTTTTCAGTATGAATGTTTTCACCCACAGAACACTGTGTCTAAGTGACCCTAGCGCTAAAGTTCACATTCTGAAAACAATCGATTAGTCAACCCCTGATTCTGTTTTCATCTACGCCTAGTGAATTAAACAAGAAAACCATATGCGCCGGTACCCAATACTCCACGCCTATTGTTCAACAGTAAATCAATAACAGAGCGAATAAGAAACTAATGGCATGTGTAATACTTGAATGGCGTTCATTGTGTGCATGATCTATTCGATGAAAAAGAAGTTTCGTTTGTGTTTCAACAACACGCTTGCTATCTAAGGCTGATTTCCAAATGATCCAAATGAATGGCCACATGTGTACAAATTACTCTGAATCGTTAACTGCGCGCCCGGTTGTTTGCTGGCATTTTCGAAAAAATCGTGTTGGACGTACAGCATTAGTGTCCACTTCCCTGGCCGTTAAGGATTGAAAGTCTTTTTCCATCTCCACCAGTCGCTGTGTTGTGCGCCAAAAACGGACAGATTCCACAGAGCAAGTTGGCCAAATATGCCTTTCCGTAAACTGGATCTGGATGCTATGACCCGATAAATGTAATTAGATCTGAAGATATCCGTCGTTCTGTACTCCTCAAATAGGGTTGAATGTGTTCAATCCGAATCGATTGAACAGACCATGCAATGGTGATCAACTGAACACATTCACACGGCACGTACACTACCATTGGATGGATCATCATCAATCGAATGGTTCGACCATTGTTATCAGCGGCTTCTAACCACCCGTCTGTGGTGGCCCTGTGTCTACTTGAGTTCCAGTCCGATACGTGCTACACGGCGGGGACTGTTTATGTCTCCATTTCAGCTTCATGTGTGAGAGAAAGTTACTCAAAAATATCTCAGTCGTTCACGTGCATCTACGTTTAAATCAGACAATTATGCTTATTAGACCGGATCGATTTTAACCAGTATCGCGGGGTGTGATTGCGTGTATGGCGAAATTCCAGCAAACGGGATCACCATCAAGAAGTTAAAAAGAGAGTCAACTGAGTACCTTCAAAATCAGTCAGGTCGCGTTCTCGAACTTACGGACGTGAGAGCTGAGAGCAAGCCGGTTAGACCGATTTGTGCTTGAATTTTTCGATTATTTTGCTTTGATTGCTTTGACCAACCGTGTGTGATGTGTTTGATACCAAAGAATTTCTTGTGGTCTCTGAAATTTCGGTCGACAAGATTTGCTTGACCTACCCGTTACCAGTATCAGGTTAAAACGACGCAGCTTGCCATTTTACCTCCTAAAATTCTCAATTTGGATTTACATGAAATTTTGGTGTTCAAGACATGTTATCTACACTGAATCATTGATTGATTATTCGTCATTCGATTTGTTGATTTTTTCCTCTGGAAAACGCAAACGACTTGAGGCGAACCCATGACAAATAAAAATTCCCACCCAAACATTGTGTGGAGTTCATTTTCTGCTACGAACTGATTTTGTAGAAAATTCGGACTCCCTGAATGCAGGCCAAATTGAATTTCTGAAACGAAAGCCAGTGGCCACGTGTCCGTTCGCTATACTTGCTTGCGTGAGGGCGTGTAAAAAAGGCATGATTTATTGCTGCTGCTCGGTTGTAATTAGTCTGATGGTATTGGTTTGGTAGAAAATTGATAGGGCTAAACTGTCCCCGACCCCACTCCCAGGATTTTGCTTCACAAACTGTAATTGGAAAGATCCCACGAAAAGTAGACAAAAGCTGTTTCGTGTTAGAAACTGGATATCTTTGAACATCTTGATTTGGTCTTCCATAAGTGGGTAAGGAAATCTCACATGTACACTCAACATAAATATTTGAAACCATTATCCAATAGTGTGTAAATGAATTTATTAAATCCATCTTTTTAGGGAAGCAATGATGGAAATGTGTGATACACAATTGGTCATTAATTTCATACCTGGACTCCTGTAGACTGGCATAGAAAAGCCGAAGTTGTGAGCCTTAAGAAAAGTGTAGCCTGTTGGTCGTACTCTGTTAAACTCAAATACTCTATTGAATTAAATTTGTCTGAATTGAACAAATTCCCAAGAAGCACAGTGCATGTGGTCACCGGACGGGGTAATCAATAGATCCTGGTGCATGTGAGGTCTCATTGGCTAAAAGGTTAGCTGGATCCCCGTTTGGGAGTGTGACAGGTAGAGACTATATAATCGTGAATCATCCATATGGTCCGATAGGCGAGAAAACGTGTATACTGTTCGACAAATCAGGAAGTATCCATTTTAGTTGGGCTTCCAGGATGGTCTATCGTACACCCTAGTCATCTTCTAAGCCTGTAACCTTTATCCTACTAAGTACAGCCAAAGCAATCGGCATCAAGCTGTTTGACCCCCGTCCCCTACCCCACTATGCCACTAGAAGATTTTTTACCATGCATTATCGCTGCAATGAGAGTTGTCAAGCGGTCAACCAATTTCGGCATGATAACTGGAAGAATGTTGTAATTAAATGAAGACTCAATAAAATGTGGACGCACTTAGAAACGGTACGTCAATGGTGTATTGTAATCAACCTCATACGAGAACAAACATTATTGTAAGCTCTACCTGTATGAATGTAAACGACCGGTTAATGAATTATCGAAAAACAACTTGTTTCGTTTACTGGGTATTGGTTCCCGTGATGCGATGAATGTGTTCCATATCCAAATAGCCATCAGCGCATGCCATCATCTACGTGTGTTCGAACAAAATCCTCCTCCATTTATGAACAGCCGCCCATCTATTACTTAGTTATTGCCGGTGACCGGGAAGAGCTGATTAAATAAACGGACTTGAACAATTATTCGTTCATTGAGAATTATGCACAGTCAAATTTCAAAAGGTGAATCAAATTAGTTTATTGGACTAATACTTTGTTCAGATCAGCAAGATGGAGCCTTACATCAGACTCCGTTGGAATTGAGTTATACAATTCAGTACGTTTGCATCGTTTAAACATGCAAAATGTTATTGTCCAAACTGATGTGTTCTGCCAATTGCAATTCCGTCCCACCCACCCCCACCCCGGAACACAGCTGCGCCTCCTGGCTACCCAAAATTTCTCAATTCATTTTCCGTGATTGTGGCCAAAAAGAATGCCGGTGTCGAGTTGGAATGTCGTGCCAGTGGTGACCCGCAACCCGTCATCGATTGGTTCAAAAACAGTGTCCCGGTCGATCTGACAAATCCGCGTTTTGAGAAACTCAGTGAGTGCGAATCGATCATGCCGGTAGTAACTTGTGCCTCAGTGTCCGGGTATCGTAAGAACCAGGAGTTATTTACATCTCAAAATAATCCTGGATAGAGTGGTTGAATAAGAAAATAATGAACTCAACCCCCCCTCCCCCGGGCGGAGAGGAGAGGGGATAAATGTAGAACATGACGCTGAATGCATCTGCCATAGAACAGTGGGTGATATTTCACCAATAATCATAGTAATAATAATAATGCATTCAAAGTTGAATTATTCTTTCAGCATAGGAGGTAAAGATTTTTCGAATAAACTTGTTCTTCTGCATCCGTATCAGTGAACAGTTAACAGATGGCTACATGCGACTCAATTTCGGTTATCATTTGCAACGAGCAACCCGAAGTTACCGGACTGTTCTACTTTTACAGACAAGCAAGCAGGTAAACGTGTGCAATATTTACGCAAGTTACATTCTGATTTTTCATTTCGATTTTTCCTGCATTGAAATTTCACAAACTCAGTGGAATTGCATCAAAAACCGCGGACCATTGAGGTGATTTTATCGACAAACCAAAAATCTGATCTTATCTATGCAGTCTGGAAAAGTAGGTTTTCGTCGACAAAACTTAACCACATTTCCAATGCATAGCAATCAGTCAAGCTGAAATGTTTCCACTGTGAGGAAAAAACACCCAATCTGGATGGTGTAGGCAATGCGGAAAGTGAATTTCTGTGCGTGTGCGTGTGTCGTTTTCGGAATCACAGTCAATTGCGAACTGTAGTTATCTGCCCCCTGGGTTACCAGGCTCTGGAACATCAAGAGTATTTTATTTTGGCATGAACAGCTTCAGCCAACATGCTACAGTTCATCTTTGGGCGTACACAATCTTTTCCTTCCCGATCGGCTTCCTTTGGCTCATACAAGAAATACGGAGAGTTTATCGATCAAATGAGGAAGGATTTGTGGTGAACAAAAGAGCCCGCTTTTCTCACACTTTTCTGTGGAATTTGAGCAAGTGGCTTTCACACAATAAAGTGTAATCTATGGTTTTCCCCAAAACCGTTTAATATCCCGTTTCAAGATCAGAGTATTGTGTGCAATAAACACCCACAGGGAGAGACTCGCATGAATATATATGCACATCACTTGAGTTAGAGTTACTAGCCGAGCCGCATGAAATTCACAGCCTACTCAACATCCTGAGAATCACAAGAAAAGCTTACTTGGGTTTAATTTGGAGCACGGGTTTAATTGCTGTTTCATCTATTTTATCCCCATCTACTGGACAAACTCTATGCTGATGAATCCATTTAACCTCTGGTAGTAGATACACGCTGTGCTCCGCTGAAAAGTTCAGGCAAAATGTTATAAACTCCAACAGACATGCAGTGCTTTGCACTCGGATACTCTATTTACAGTATGACTTCAACCCTTCTGAGCAATATCCACCCATATTTGTGAAGATAGTGAATGGTTAGTACTCATTTGCAAAATAAGCTTATTAATTGTTCAAACGTTCGTTTGGCAGATGTAAGTCATTGAAGTCAAGTTGAATTTGTGAAAAGTTCATTTGCCTCTGCGGGATTCGAACCCACGCATGGACGCCGCTTACGCTTTTTACAGCGCAAGCGGTACCAGCTGAGCACCGAGGTCACACCGGTAGCACTGATATTTTATAGTTTTTCTTACACAGTCAATATGTAAATAGATCAGGAGAGAGAAATCTTTGCAATTGGTAAGTGTCGTGTACGTAAATTTATAGGTGATGCGCTTTTGTTGGCCCCAATGCCCATGGGCAAACAAAGAAACTAAAAACATTTGTGTCTGTACCTGAACTGGTTGGAGAGCAATCTTCTAATGCACCATAAATATCATGTTGGCATTATAGCCACAGTGCTCAAGCATAATATATTTGATCTGTGTAAAAGACCGGTTTCGCTGTCGACTTAATTGACCCCTAGACCAAACCGAAATCCGCCCCCAGAAGAATGAGCAAAGCGGGAGCCCGGCAATCAATGGATTTCAGTTAGCGCAGCAAAGACCACGCCGAAAACGAACCACTATTGGTATTATCCCTTCCATCGCCAAGTCCAAGTGATGTGTTTTGAGCTGGTATTGTGCACTTTTGTACAATAAATCTACCGCAAAAAACGAACTGTTGGCATGCGCTCAAGCTGGTCGAATATGATCAACGCACACACACACCAACAAGCCTGCACACGAAGACTTGCCTATGTTAGACTCTGCAACTGCTGAGCCTTGAGGTTCAACTGGTTTATGAGTTTGTAATTTGATCGGGCGTAATTTCTTACCTAACTCACGTGGAATTTAATCCGTCCAGCATTATTCCACAAGAATCCGTTCGTTCAACAGTCTACGAAACAAGTGTGCAACTGACAAAGAACAAGGAATCTCTATTTATATCGAACTGAGAGAACATAGATTTGGGAGGGTGTTGTTGTGCAAAACTAATGAAATTGACCAGCTATTTTTAGCCGTAAGCAAACAATACCCAATGAACTCGCTTTTTGCCAAAGATCACAAGCTACGCTCGTGTGTCTGTGTGTATATACTCGGTGAGAATGTACCGAATTCATTCAGTGCTCACCTCGGATTTTTTAACTAAGATTGCCCAGAATGGTTTCTTTCTCTCGACAGAGATCGAATCATGTTGGAGCTTGCGTGTAATTGCCGTAAACTATAAAGTTATTCTATTTCCAAATAAATTTAATCGGCGCCCTGTAACCAAGATTTTTCGATAAGAGAGCCTTGTTAAGTAAAATAATGTATGTTGGCAATAGTCGAGGAGGAGGAGGAGGAGGAGGAGGACGCGGTGGCGGGTGCAGTGACAGTGGTGGTGATGGTGGAAGGTGTTACAAAGAGTGGAGTAGATGAACAGGAGTTTATGTTCCCAATGGAACAAACGAACCAGTGATAATAATAAGTCGCCCGTAGCAACGTTAAATCGAGTACGTAGCATTAGGGGTTGCGTGCACCGTATAAACCTTTGTTCTTTATCGTTTAAACGGGCGACAATACGAAACTGTTATGGGAAATTCACGGATTTCGATTAGTGGAGACGGCTGTATTTAGGCACCCAATTCTCGCATCTCTACTCCCATGCTCATTCCGAGTTACATCCAGATATATCTACGGTCAGGTGAGAGGAATCTTAACTTTTTGTCGGTAATGATTCAGCACTTTGTATACGAAACGTTAACAATAAAATGGGTTCATTATTTATCTTGATTCTGAAGAACGTATCGTATCGCAACAGTAAAACGACCTTGGTCTGCCTCGGCCACGAGGTCCGGAGCGAATGTTCTGGTCCAAGTGCCTTACTGTTGTCAAAACATGATTTGTGCTCCTTCTGACGGTGACGGAGTCGAGGAGTAAATACTACTGCTTGCAGCCACCTGCATGATAGTGAACTATGGCGTCAGTCAATTGGACTCGCTATATCTCTTTGATCCTCAAGCAAAAAGTACTTCCTTGAACATAATACCGGCAAAACTGTTGACAGTAATGATAAGAACATAAATAGCTAACGACCTTGTCTTCCGTCCACTTTTTTGCCTA